TGTTGTTGCTGTTGCTGTTGCTGTTGCTGTTGCTGTTGCTGTTGCTGTTGCTGTTGCTGTTGCTGTTGCTGTTGCTGTTGCTGTTGCTGTTGTTGTTGTAGTTGTTGATGCTGCTGTTGAGCTTGCAGTTGCTGTTGCTGCTGCTGCTGTTGCTGTTGTTGCTTTTGTTGCTCTGATTGCTGCTGTTACTCTTGTTGTTGTTATTGCTATTGTCCATGTTATTGCTGCTGTTGCTGTAGTTGTTGTCGATATCGTTGCCGTGGCTGTTGTCGTTGTCGTTGTCGTTGTTGTCGTTGGCGTTGACATTATGGTTGTTGTTGGTGGTGGTGGTTTTGTTGTTGTTGTTGGTGGTGGTGGTGTGTTTGTTGTTGTTGTTGTTGTTGTTGGGGTTGTTGTTACTGTTGTTGTTGTCGTTGTTGTCGTTGTCGTTGTCGTTGTTGTTGTTGTTGTTGTTGTTGTTCGTGTTGTGTGTGTTGTTATTGTGGCTAGTGTCGTTCGTGTTGGTATTATTATTATTGTTGTTGGGATGCTGTTGCCGTTGATGTCGTTGCTGCTGTTGCTGTTGTTGCTGATGGTGGTGGTGGTTGTTGTGGTAGTGGTGGTGGTGGTTGCTGTTGGTGCTGTTGCTAATGTTGCTGATGTTGTTGTTGGTGCTGTTGGTGCTGTTGCTGTTGCTTTTTGTGGCTATTGTTGTTCGTGTTGGTCGTGCCGTTGGTGTCGTTGTTGTTGGGCTGTTGGTGCCGGTGATGTCGTTGTTGCTGTCGCTGTCGCTGTCGCTGTCGCTGTTGTTGTTGTTGTTGTTCGTGTGGTGGTGGTGTTGTTGTTGTTGTTGTGGTGGCGGTGGTTGTTAGTGCTGTTGTTGATGTTGATGATGATGTTGATGTTGCTGCTGCTGTTGCTGTTGCTGCTGTTGTTGTTGTTGTTGTTGTTGTTGTTGTTGTTGTTGTTGTTGTTGTTTATGTTGTGGTTATTCTTGCTGTTGTTTGTAATGTTGATGATGTTGATGTTGTTGTTGTTGTTGATGTTGTTGTTGTCGTTTATCTTGCTTTTGTTGTTGTTGCTGTTGTTGTTGTTGTTGTTGTGGTTATTGTTGTCGTTGTTGTTGGTGTTGTTATTGTGTACTGTATGTTGTGTGCTGCTTGTTGTTGATTGTTTGCTGTTTGCCACTTGTTGCTTGTTGTGTGGTGTTCGTTGAATGGTATTTGTTGTCGCTTGTAGTTGTTGTTGCTGCTGTTGTTGTTGTTGTTGCCACTGCTGTTGTTGTTGTTGCTGCTGGTGTTGTTGCTGTTGTTTTCAAAGTCATTCCCATGGTTGTTACTGAATTCGAAATCACGATTACTATCACTGTCATTGGAACCATTGTTGGTATTTTTTATTGGTTTTCATATACTCATAGTAATACAAATGTATAAATATTACTCGTAACGCTCTTGGGATTGTTGTTATCTCAGTTTAGAACTCATCGGCAACGGCTGATTACACTTGAAGGATTTTTGGGCACGCCGCCTCCGTGTTGGCAGCGACGACGCGCCCCCCGAGCTCGTAGCACCACAGCCTTGGGAGTCGCGTACCCAGGGGGTTACAGTTTACTGTTCTTTTTAAAGGTGGTTGTGACGCTACAAATAACGCGCGGCTCCGACACGACAACATAATGCAGGGGCCTGAATACTTAGAATAGGGTTTTGGGCTCCTTTATAGTATAAGTATAACACGCAACCCGACGGAATACTATTGGGCATTATTTAGGCATCTATAATGTAAACCCTACACCCAGCTAGACTAGACTCAAGGCCATAATCCGCCCCGACACCCTAAACCCTAAACCCTAAACTCTAAACCTCAATCCTAAACCCTAAACCCTCAACCCTAGACCCTAAGCCCTCAACCCTAAACCCCAAACCCTCAACCCTAAACCCGCCCCGACAGAGCACAAACCCTGAGCCTCAAACCTGGGCCCTACCGCCGCCTAACTACAATACCAAATAAATGGAACTGGAGAAGCCAGAAAAAATAACAGTAATAACAATAATAGTCGTAGTAGAAATAGCCATAATAATGGCAACAATAAGAATAATAGCAAAAATAATAGTAATAGTAATATTGACCATAGTCATAATGAGCATAGTAACGAACATAGAAATGAGAACAATAGTAACACAGATAATACTGTATCCGTTCATGTTTGTCGAAACACCTCCCAGAAATCATCAAGCCTAATATAGGGGCCTGAAATGGCCTGAACAATTACCAATACTATGGTGGGGGTTCCTTCTTGTAATTATAGTATCATGTACTCCAAAACCCTATTCTAATTATTAGGGCCCTACATTATTAGATTCAGAATTTGTCGTTGAAGGCTTGGGGCTTGAGCGGAAACCAAGCAGCCGATGAAAGCCTGTCGACATAGCAGACTTCAACTGTGGGGAACGACCGCTGTCAGGGGGGTTCGACCTGGATGACTCCGACGAGTCCGAGGAGGAGGATTTAGGCGGGAAAGCCCGGCTTGCAGTCTTTGGGTTTAAGGTTTTAGGGAGGCAGCCAACTTGGAGGCACTTCAGAGAGACCTCGTTCAAAAATGGTTTTAGGGTTCAGGGTTTTGGATTTACTGCATAGCTTGTAGCCTGGGTTCAAAAAAACTGTATAGCTTGTCATGAGTACATGTTGTGCGGGGTTGCGCGGTCATGAGTGCTGCGCTGCTTCACGGCGACAGGCAGTTCCGGGCGAGAGAAGCCTGCTGCAAAAGGGTTCAGGGTTTAGGGGTTCCTTCAAAGTACGCAAACTCGATGACTTTTCCAGGTGTGCTAGACCCTTCTACCCTGTTGGTTCACGCAGGCGATGGAGGCGACTCCCAGACGATGACCATGATGCGGGCCAAACCCGAAGTGACACCTGGCTGAATCTACGGCCACTAGAGTGCCACTAGTGACATTGCTGGCTTCGTCTTGGACGAGGCATTCAGTAAGATGGTCATGTGAGGTGAGGGCGAGGCATCATGTGGGGTGTCAGAGTGCATATAGCAATTGCCATTGCCACCTTCACTTTGTTCACTGCTGCAAGTAAAGTCAGCGTACCTTCCCGGCTCTCCATTCCCAACTGCGCGATTCAAAGGAACGACAAAGGCACCCAGAGTCAGTTGTCCATGTGTTACCGCATCCACACCGTTCTTGTAATCATTGCACGGTTCGACCTGTGAGCAGCATCGATGAAGAAATCATCAGTGTGCCAGAGTATGCTTGTCGGAGCAACTGGGACTAACTCCAGAGCAGCTACACTCAAGAAGTACCCACGACGAAAGGGGAGGCAGTTCTTTGCGGCAGGATGTATATAACAGCGCTGCAGCGCCCACTGAGCAAGAGCAGAAGCAAAAGGCGCACACATCTAGGATGTCTCGGATCGACTTCACGAAATTGTGCGATTTTCCTGGAGATCTGAGCCTCGCACGCTTGTGGTAACATGTTCTGCCCTGCGATGCGTGTTGCCGAAGCAGGTGCAGTTTGAGGGGTCAGACTCTGGTCTGAGATGGGGGGGTTGTTTTTTTTGGGGCTCGGGTCTCGAGATGAGGGGCAAAGGTTCAGGGGCTAGCTTTCAACCCTGAGCCCAAATCCACATCCCAACCCCTAGACATCGAACATGACGCTCTTGAGTGCAAGAACCACCTCCAATCAGAATTAAGGTCCTGTAGGCTCTGGCCCGGTTCGTTAGTCCGTAGGCTACATTATATGGTTAAACAATTATGGGTTGGGCTTCTTAGTCGTATGGTAATTATAGAGGTATGGGTTTCCAAAACACTGGTTTACTGGTTTAGGATAGGTGTGTGTGTGTGTGTGTGTGTCGGGAGAACCGGCTTGACGAGTGATTGATTAGAAATCGAACATACATCCTAAATGTCGTTTTTTGGATTTGACGGTTGGGGTATCTTGTGTGGGCTTCAGGGCATCAAGATGCAAGGTCCATCACGATGGAGGAGGTCCGCGAAGCACCGTGGCAGGGAACGAGGGCTCAAACAAGTGGTTCATGTTTTTCGATGCCCTCTGCACTGGCCTGTTCCTCCTCCATCCATCTGAAGCATGCTTTTTGACGATCCCAGCCCAGCTAACTGTCATGCAAGCTTCCTGACAAACATACCCTCGGGTAGAAGCCCTGAACCTCAACAGCTTCTAGACTAAACCTAGAGACCTAGAGTTCAATAACCCTTGAACCGTAAGACCTACCCCTAAAGCTTCATATGTCTTCCAGCGAAAGATTTGCCGCAGGCAAGTTTTCATTCCGACCGGCCGCCCACGCCCCAGAGTCCGCAGGAGAAGGACACCCGGCTTTTGATGACAAGATGCTTCTGGATTCCTGTTTCCCCTTTGCCCATGCTATTGCAGGTCTGTTGAAATTATGGTTTCTTGCTATGCTGAGTCTTAGGCTTGATAGAATGTTTTTGAGTGATACCATGATAGTGATCTGATGCCCGAAATATTATTTGAGTTTGAGCAGCTCTACCCCAGGTCTTGATGGATATGGGGTATAGGGAGCGTTTCCACGGACCGCCTTTGTTGAGTTCATGGACCGGCGAAGCCCAGCAGCATCGTAGCTTGGGAGTTTGAGGCCAACTATTGCTTGAGCTTGAAGCCAAAAGCCCTCATGTAGATCCTGAGTCATTACCAACACCATTCCTGAAAACGCCTTGATACATTTACACTATAACTATGCCCCCAAGCCCTAGTCTAGTGATACGGGCCTTCGTGAGGCCATTCTATGAAACTAGGGACGGGGAATGGCCTTGGAACTCGTGCAGAGGAAGAAGTTGCGAAGTGGCCCCCAGGTGTCCTACATTCGTTTAGGGTTTAATAAGCATCTAGGGTTCAGTCTTGTGTTTCGATTACCGACAGAGAGCGTGCCACTGCAAGGTCACCCTCCTAGACAGACGGCAACGGTTGTAGACGTCTAGGTCGACGCGTTACGACATTTCAAGTCTTACCCCGCGAATGCTTTGAGCCTGAACCTCGCTCCAGGAGAACAGCAAGAAGTTTAGATTCTTCGGAAGTGAAGGGTGGCCTGGATGCAGTCAGACCATTCTGAGACAGTGGTTGCGGTTGTGTGCCCATACCTCGGAAACACAAGCTACAACTGCGAGACGCTTGTCACGAACAAGAACTGCGTCTATCACGGGCAGAGGTTATAAGTGCATGTTTTCTGCATCCACCTGCATTGCTTATGGCAAACTTGATGTGTGTCTGTGCTGCGTCTATGCTATTTTTCATGCGCAGCTGATGAGCAATTTCGATCGTTCCGGCATAGTTGCACCTTTACGTAGACATGTAGTTTTCCGACATGCTACCATGGCGCTCACATGCGCAGCGCCTGTACATATATATATATATATATATATATGTACACATGTATAATCAAAACAACGTATGCGCGCAGAAGCCATTTATGTACAAACATTGCATCTCGCAGTGTGAGCCATCGGGGGTTATTTCTGGATGCGGCATAGTCAAGCTTGCTCCGGTGGTTCTATGAAGCACGCAGCGCACATCACCTTGTGGCAGAAACCCAGTGGACGTGCTGCATCAACCAGTAATTCGGTGAACAAGGAGATAGCAGAAATACACACAGCCACAATGCGCGCAACACAGTTGCACGTGCGTGCATGTCTTTATGCAAACTGGGGGGCCACTGAGGGGATGAAGTGTAAGTAAACATGTGGATATGTGTTGTTTATCTGTTAGTTCGAAGTTATTTGGGTATGCATTATTGATTGAACTTGTTGTTCTTAGGATTCTTGAGGCTTTCAACAGTACATATACATATCTATGTATGCAATTACTGATTTTTCATACAGATACATCCCCGTATACATGTCAATCTGCATATATGCATATATAACATGATTATATAAATAGGTATGTATGCATGTAAGTATGCATGTAAGTATGTATGTATGTAAGTATGTATGTATGTATGTATGTATGTATGTATGTATGTATGTATACATGTACCTATATGTTTTATTTATGTGCCTTGAACCCTAAACCCTTATGGCTGTGTGCATATATTCGTGTCGTGTCTTTGGTTTTTTGTGTACATGTGCAGCCAGCTGTTGACATTAATGTCATATCCACGGTATCCCCAAAGGCCCAAGGACACAAAGTCAGACACTCATCGCGCGCCGATCGTTAACAGGGACCTTGCATTCCCCGACTGCTCGTCGTTGCTGTAGTCTCTCTGCTCTGGGGCAGCATCAGACGGTACACCATACTAATAGCAAGTGCGATTAGAATACAATTGTAACACGGCTGGTGTCTTCAACTTTGCTGTCTGGCATACATTGTGCATAGCCCAGTGTCGGTGCTCCTTAGTATTGGTTGCAGTGGATGCGCACGAATGTCATGACTGCATGCGACTCACGCATGCAGGCTTGTTTGCAGGCTTGCGTGTGCGTATGCATATAGGCATGATTTGCTTGGTGTATGGCCGCGATTCGTCATTTTAGGTTTTGGGTCTAGGACCATGTTCCAGTCTAATTCTCTTCTGAGTTTCTACACATTGTTGCCGGTGATGCCATGCTCAACAGGGTCCAGATCGTTATGACAGTTCACCTGCCGCGATGCATGCTGTTGGCACGTGTCTAATATCCACTGAGCAGGGTGTACTGCTTCTCTATTAAAGTCTAGGCTTTGCATCAAGCGTTGCGCATCGGCATTATTGCCAAAATTAGCCAAACATGCTGTTGCCAGGGCTTAGAAGGTTTTCAGTCGAGTTTTTGGCAGCCTGCACACACTTTCCTCCGCTCTTGAACCAGCTTCGTGTCACATGTGTGCTCCGTCTATGGCATACCCCAGGCAAGTTTACAGGCACGTGCAACATGTTCAGCATCAGTGAACTGCTGTGAGGACTGATGTGGGCTGTGTCGTGAGATATGCAGAACAGCTCAGCCAAGAATGCGATTTTGAGGAAGAAACACCGCGACAAGCTCGACCTGAACGCAGCACGCGAGCCTATGGACCGCAATGGAAGCAGTTTAGCATCTTCAGCTGTCACTCTGGACTTTCGCTCAGGTTCACAGCTTTCTGGGCCGGAGTTTTGCAAGCAATATCTAGATTCCCGTTATGTTTCGTAGTGGCTCAAGAAGAGAATGCGGGCCGTTGATTTGTTGAGCTCCTGAGCGTGCGAGCTTTACAGGGCATGGGGCATTCCGTTTGCATCGGCATCTAGGAAAAAAGTCGAGAGAGATTGCGAGAGAGAAGGAGACGGGCCGCAAATCAGGCCAGACATATAATGTTTCGGTTCCGGAGGAAGGGTGGGCGATCGGGAGGCAAGGTTGCAGTTGCCTATCGACAGGCAAGCAAAGTCCAGTGGTTCGGGCGTGCTGCGCTGGTAAAGGTAGGTGTGCATCTTCTCAGACCCCCAGACAGGAAGAGGCGTACGTTCGCTTGCGCTTCATGACTCAATTTTTGCTTGGGGCAGCAGCAGGGGCTGCTTGCTTCTTCTAGAGGTGTCGACTTTTAGCTCCTAAGTTCTGGCAGTTGCGAGATTAGCTTGCGAGTGTGAGTTTGATCCAACAAGCTCTTGCTTCTCGGGCCGTTATCGTGTTTATGCACGATGTTTTGCCTATAAAGCATCAGCGACATGATCTTCAGTAGTCTTGGTCTTACGTAATATCCATGCTACGAGGGCGATCGTAAGCAGAAGTATCACGGCAAAGTCTGAACGGTGCCTTGGGTCGTCAGCCTTCCCTCGCTGTTGTTACATCGAAACTAGTTTGCAGCACAGTTGCTGTCTTCATGTTTAGTTTCTTTTTAACTGTGGCAAGCAAGTGCTAGTACGGTTCATTTGCAAGTCGCTCGGTGCTTTTACCGCACAGTGTATGGTCTTACCATCCTTTCCCAACGCCGCAGGTTCATGCAGTTTGCCGTTCACTTGCGCCCCTTGCCACTGTTTCAGAATCCTTCAAAACCGAATGTGGCGCTGCTAATCAGCTGATGCCGGAAACCTTTAAGGTGACTGACGACTGACATGTCCTGGTAGGCAGTGGGACATGTTTTGGTGCGGTGGCTTTCACGAGCTGTCTTTCTTGCTGTGGCTCGAGCTCTGCGACTGTGGGCCCCCACCACGGACCGGCACCGCAGCCTTTCGGGAAGGTTCGGTTTTTCTGCTTCTACCTGTGACGCCCCTAGAGGGGACCTAAACAATAGAAATGTAGGGACCCTAGTATAGAACCCTATAGTGTCCGTTAAAGGGGGCTCCTACACTGTCCTACACCAGGTTTCATCACGGTACCTTCTCGGACTTAAGGCCACCAGAACTGAGCCTCAGACCCGAAGTCCGACATGCCGGAAGCTAGGCCCCAAAGCTCTGAACCCCTGAAGCCCGAATCTGCCGCTGCCGCACTTTACGGAGTCCTCTTAAAAGCTCCGGAAGATTCTACCCTGACCCTAAACCCGAAAACCCCAGACCCTAAACCCTATAAAAACCCGAAAGCCCTATAAAACCCGAAAGCCCTATAAAACCCGAAAGCCCTATAAAACCCGACACCCCTTGAATGACCCTGAACCCTATAAAGCCCGAAGGCCATATAAAACCCGACAGTCCTTGACGCTCAGGAAAGTTCTACTTCGACTTGCTCTACCCCCCGGGAGCCAATGGCCGGAGGCGAGCCCTTCTTCGATGGGGGTGCCCCGGATCGGAGTTTTAGGGTTTCTATTTAGGGTTTAGGGTTTAGGGTTTAGGTGCCCCGGAACGGAGTTTTAGGGTTTAGGGTTCTCCGGAGCTTTAGCTAGGGCTTCTATTTAGGGTTTTGGGTTTAGGGTTTTCTAGGGGTTCAAGGGTTTAAGAGTTTAGGGCTGGGTTTAAGGGTTTAGGGTTTGAGGGAAGAAATCCTTAAACCTTGACTTAACTTTTTGTGCCTTTTGTCAGCACGATCCTTCGTTTATTAGGTTTAGCCCGTTTCATATTGAGGAACCTATACTCGAAAAGGTAGCCCCCAAAAGGAGGTAGGCCCCAAGCCAGGAAGCCCGAATTCTCCTAAAGTCCCTCTAATCCTAACTCCTCTTGCCCATCTGTACTTTCGAACCCTTCCTGGTGAGGCCGCAGCCTATGGACCCAAGTTTCAGGGCTTCGGGCTTCAGTGTGCAAGGTAGGCTTCTGGCGCGCAGGCCATAACGTTTCGTTTTGAGATTGGGACCTTGTCATGTATGTATGTATGTATGTATGTATGTATGTATGTATGTATATATATATATAGATATGCATATACATACATATACGTATACATTTACATTATATCCTACATGCTGAATTTGTATACACGGTGTAGTAATCACGACATAATTTCATTTTGCTAGGAATCGTCGATCGCTGTAGCTTTGAAGCAGCAGATTGCCGAACCCAAGGATGCTCCACGTGCAGTCCATGGGCGTCAGAGGTGCACCGTACAGGCCACGAGGGGCTCAACTGTGAATTTGGTTCGAACGTTCAGGCAGCATTAGAGGTTTGGTTTGGCTCTGCATGCCTGTGCTTCCAATTAGGAGTTGGGATTTCAACGTAGCGGGCTTCAGTTTAAGAAAGGGGCTCCGACCGACCTGGAGAGACATCAGCCTGACGGACGGACAAAGTGCTGAAGACTTGAAGGCCTAGAGTAGGGCAATGAACTTTGCCACCCAAAGTGTCCAAGCACGCAGTTCAGCAAACACCAGGCTTTGGTCATCACTGGTTCCTCCGATTGTGGTCATCTCAGCGCCGATTGGCGACCTGCAGCTCGGACCGAAAAGAAGGGCATTGTGTTTTTTTCCCCCGACTGCTACTGTTGCCACTGATAATGACTGCTGAACCCTTTCTTTGCATGGCCGGCTCGCATGTATGTATTGTTGGGTTTTTGCCCTTGCTAGAAGGCTTTTTGTCTGCAAATATTCTCGTCCACCCTGTGCAATCCTAGTATGACCTTTCTCACGTGTCGTAGTAGTAGCAGTGGTTGTCGTCGTCGTCGTTTAGTCGTAGCCGGAGTCGTCATAGTAATTTTTCTTTGGTAACAGTAGCAGTAGTGGTGGTAGTAGTAGCAG